AAAGTCAGCAGCCCGCCGCGGATGGAGTCAGATATGAAATGTGGGCAGACATCGCCTCCACCGGCATTGAAAACCCCCCGGCTCCGCGTTTCTCTTTGCCGTCTCCGGCGGTGCGAGATGAAGAGGCTCTTACGTTGGGGAGCTGAAGCGCATATTGATGAGGCGGGTGCGCGGCGCTGCTGCTGCTGCTGGTGGCGGTGAAGGCACTCGGCTTGTTCAAATGAGAGACGAAGCTCAACGCTTACACTGTAAAAAAAAAGTACCCACCAGTAGCTGCAGTACAGTCTGTTTACTCAGGGTGGTTCTTTTTCTTTTTTTTTCCCGGTAAAGCTTATTTCTAATGCAAATGAACTTCTTCCCAATCTGTGACCTGTTCCTAAATTATCTTTTTTAATTTTATGAACTGCCAATAAACTATTTATGCGTGTAAACTGGATGGATGTGGGTGTTTAAAGGGTCACTCCAGCTATTTAGCGAGTCACTTTCATTAAGTCGTGCAGCTCACAATAGACTTCAATAGATTGAAAAAAGAAGAGCAGCAATCAAAGCAGCCGAGGCAGAGATATCCTATGACGACATAATTCAGGGATATTTCTTTCTGTTGACACCATCGGGGGTTACTCTCTGGGACTTTAAACGCCAAAAAAAAGATCATGACAGTATACAACCATTTTCATGGAGTAATTGGTCCCATACTGCCCATGACAAAAACTGCTACCCATTTAAATATTTTTGTTTTATTTTAATTTGTGAGATAGTTTCACTTTCATTTAGGACACATTTTTTTTCAGGATTCTATTCCATTTTTTGCATTATTATTATTATTTTAATAATTTGACCTGTTCTAGCTTTATTACTTTTTTAGGCTATAAAATGACTGAAACAGGCAAACAAATAATAAGAAAAATAAAGTTTAATCAATTCATTTTTCCGACACCAAATTGCCTTGTTAAAATGGACATTTTTTAGAGTGCTCCTCACACCATCTGCGCCAATTCCCTTCCCATGAGTTCTCTGTAAAAATGGCGGGATCCGAACTATATCGATGAGGGACAGGTGGCATTTATCAACCAATTAGTCGATGCTTGCAATTGATTAGCCTGTTAGTCGCCTGTAATAGTCTCTATTCCTTCTCTAAAATGTGGGGCTCTGCCATCGATTATTTAGGCTGAGGAATATTGAAGTCGCCGGACATTCTGCGGATAATTAGGACCGCTTGCGTGTGCGCGCATCGTTCACAGTTGCAGAACCTCATTAATACATAACGTGTGTCTGTGTAGTTGTGGTGACATTTCCTACCTCGTGTCATAGATGGCGAACAACTTCTTGTTTCCGTCAACAGCGTTCCTGGAAGAAAAGGATGATGACATCATTAATGATAGAATAGCGTTTAGCCAATGGAAACGCGTTAAAGGCGGGTGATTAGTCACTTCAGTCGCAACTGATAACACAAACAAATATCTATTATAAATTAATATTTAATTTAGCTATAAAATGCCCGTTTTAGGTCAAGCATTCATTGCTTTTGCATTCATTTATTCAATGAACCCTCCCCTGAATATGTTGTGTGCGTTATTTGTTCTGTGTAATTCAGTTTCTATCCGCAGTATAAAGCAGTCATCTAAAACAGCCTGCCAATATTGAAAGGCAGTCTATTTACCTGTGGGAGAGCCCCCCACCCCCCACACACGCACTCCTCCAACCGGTCGGCACGTGAGAGAAGTTTGCCCTCGGGGCTTTCTGCCAGAGAGGTTTATTTGAACCCAAACCACGCTCTTTTCCTAAAAACCTAACCATCTGGGGGAAAAGCCCCTCAAGGCAACACTTCTCCCACGTGCGACCGGTCACGAGCTGTCCGTGGTACTGAAAGTCAGCCTCCTCGTGCCGCTGGTGTTTCTCACGCGCCCCGTCCACAGAGCGGACCTCCAGACGGATTAAGAAAGGTATGCATCAGAAGCTAATGATCCGTCTACGAAACATGGAACTCGGCTACCCTCTTATGGCAACCGTCAGGATGATAACGACTTTGGGTTGAGACTTCATTGAGGAGGGCTTAACTGGTGTGTTAACGGGACCTACAGTATGCTAATTCATGATAAATAAATAAAAACAAAGAATACTGAGTTGAATTAAACCAAATAAATGCTGTTTCTTTCCCCTCTCGTTCTTCTTCCTCCGTGACACCGTAATAACAGCAGCGCTGCTTTTTGTGTGCGTCAGATCTCACTTTCTTTGTTTGGTTATTGTGGTAATCTTATTTTAGTCTAACGTTCTGTCGTTGTATGTCCCAGTGATTCTCAACCAGGCGTGCTGGTACCGCAGGGGCTACTTCTGGTTGGTATATGTGGAAAATGTGTAGTTACTGTTTGCTCGGCTTATCAGAGGAGATAGAAATAATAGACCTAACTCGCGCGTGACAACAAGCCAGCGGAGAGGTCTAAACTGTTTGATAAAAGGACCTGTTTGGAATAGTTAACATTAGGCAAAAGTAATGAGTAAATGGCTGAAATATTAAGCTAAAAGTAAAGAATAACCAGTTAAAATAGTTAGCTAAAAACGGGCTAATGGATACACATTTGAAATAGTTAGCTGAAAGTAATGGGTAAACAGCTGAATGCTTACCAGATAAATGGTTGAAATGAATAAGCTTTGACTATTAAACGGTTGGAAAACGTAGCTAAAAGTCATGCAAAACGGCTAAAATGTCACTAAACCACGTGGATAAATGGTTAACATATACCTAAAGTCGTGGGTAAATGGTTGCAATGTCCTGCTTCTGTAAATGCAATTGACCAAACCGACCTAAATAGTTTGAAAACATTATATCTTTATATAATTGATGGTGTTAGATAACGGCCAATTGTTTTCAAATGAACACATTTGGAACATGGCAGGTGGTGTAAAAGGGTTCAGTTAACCTGACAAAAAAGTTTAGGAAGCACCGATATATCCTTATAGAAAGAGCATCATTTCTCTCCGTTGAATTCAGCGACAGGGTTTAAAACCCGCACCTGATTTTGCTAACATCTGACATCTCCCCCCCCCCCCTCCTCCTCCCCAGTCGCGCCGCGAGTGCGCCTCCTCCTCCCAGCCCGCCAATGGGCAGCACCTATTATCAAATGATTAGCCTTTGTTGCAGCACTCCATTCTTTCGCACCGAAAGTAGGCGGCACATAGCGAGAGACAGACGCGGAGAAGATGTGGAGTGAACCCAGTCTCCTCCGGGGCTCGCGGATACGACCGAGGAGGCAGCCCGTGTGATGCCGCCGCTGCTGCAACACCTCTGGGGGCGATGCAGGAGACGCGGTGCAGCAGGCACTAGAGAAAGGGAGGCGGTGTAGCCTATAGGAGGAGAAGACCAGACCGACTACTACAACAACGCCAGATGGGGAGCCGCTGACTGAGAGAGAAAGCGAGAGAGAGAGAGAGAGAGAGAGAGAGAGAGAGAGAGAGAGAGAGAGCAGAAACAGCGCATGGTGGAGAAGAAGAAAGCGGGGAGACAGCCGACAAGCAGGGGATTAGGTGATTGAACCCGTGATCGCTCAGTTTCAACACCTCCGACAGAGACCCCCAGCCTCCAGTCGCTGTTTGGGGGGAGAGAGAAAGCCACAAAAAATATTATAGTGGTGATGGATCGGCATTCAGGTACCCCCCCCCCCCCCCTATTTTCCTCTCTTTTTTTCTAATTACACACATCATGGCGAATAGGAATGAGATTCATGTTTTTGGTGATGTTGAGTGTGGAAAAAGGTGATGGTGGAGGAGAGGATTGGGGAAAGGTGGTGGTGTGTGGGGGGGGGGCAGTATGAATTGTAATGCGCTGGATTCAAACGCAGTTGGAGCTCACACAATGGGGATCACACTGCAGGAAATATCACCCATATTTGAATGTCCTTTTCTCTACCATCTCCCATTCTGTACAGTGTGTGCTGAGGTTGTGAGGTTCGATGTTTCGGATGTTAAAGAGTTACAGCCTCGTTTGAGCAGAGATTGTCCCGCCGCTTGATTTAGTGCTTTCTGTAATGGTCTGCCTCTCTCTCTGTGTGTGTGTGTGTGTGTGTGTGTGCAGCGGAGTTTCTTTGTGTGAGTTGTGTGGGGCGCCTTATTGAGATTGCTAGACCTTTTGAGTTTATCACATTAAGAGGATAACGTAACTGTTATTTTTGTTGCGGCTATGGAATGTGGTGCTTTTCTGATGCTATCTTGTTCTTTTTGTGTGTGTGTGTGTGTGTGTGTGTCTCTCTCTCTCTCTCTGTATGTGGATGTGTTACAGCTCTGAACAACAAAGTGAGCAGAATGTCAGTCATGGCGAGGCTCGTCCTTTCCCTCCTGCTCCTGTTTGGATGCCAAAATAGGTAAACTAGGAGCTAAACAAATGGGGAAACGGCATCTTTAAAGTGGAATGCTATTTATCCCCTAAATAAAGCTGCTTAAAGAATATAGCTTTGGTGCTTTTATTATAAAAGCAAAATGTGTTAAAGTTGCCATTTGCTCGAGAATGTTCAGTCAGCAGTTTCTGTTGCAAACCACAAATCCTGATTTGTGGTTCTGTAAAAGCCTCTCTTATATGTTTTCATATATATTTCCTGCCAGCTCTGCCCTCCTCTCTTGATCGCATATCCGATCTGCACTCTCTGCTACATCGTTGCTTAAGTGGCGGTCCTGCACTCAAGAGAAGCAAAGCAGATCTTTGCGGCGACGCTGTCAGTAAATCACTGGAATAGTCCACTCTCGCAGATCAATGGCTTTTAGATCCCATGTTCAAAATCCAGCTTGTAACCTTCTTCTGTGTCACTCCCTGCTCGTTCCTGTGCATGGACACAATGTTCCTTGTAAGAAAAAGAAGATTGTGATTTCCCTTCATTTTCTAGCGACACATGAAGCCTCGCTTCTTGTCATATTTAGCGGGGGGGGGAACTCATTTGTTTATATTTGGATCACATGTCAAAGCCTTAATTATCTCTACTGGTAAGCAGTACTTATGTTCAATAATTAATCACAACAAGCCCGTCCTTAATGCGGCGAGCTAATCAATCACAATAGCCATGTCATGTTTCGACGTCCTGCAGTGTAACCAACGCCAGGATGTCCCTCCTCCCTGGAGTCTCTTTCACACTTGCTCCCTTGTGTCCTCTCCTCTCCTAGTCGCTGCCTGTCCTCCACGGAGGCCCAGAAGGAGGCGGCGGCCAACGACAACAGCACCGTTTTCACCAGGATCCTGGATGGGCTCCTGGACGGCTATGACAACAGGCTCCGGCCGGGGCTTGGAGGTTTGCTGGCGATGTTATGTGTCGTGGTGGCACCACTCAGAGCCTTTTATTTGAAAGCAACACAGTGATCTTACGTTGTAAAATCACAATGTCACAGTCGAGCCTCCAGCATGCTAACATAACCCGCTGACCTGAACGCTGCGGTTTCATGGGAACTTGCTGCGATACTGGCAGATACAAGGGTAGAAACTGTGAGAGCAGATGTGGAATTTCCACACCCGTCGGCTCAGGTGAGCGCACACACGTGTCCTCAGGTGCGGCGTGTTTCCTTCTCGGCCGTGGCCCGGGATCATGAGTGCATGCGGCCTTTTGTCTTGTACGCCGCCATGGTCGGGAGAATGAATCCATCAGGCCTGAATCCAGCGCGCTGTGGTGTTTTATTCACGCCTCTTCACCCTGGCAACAGGAGATAACCTTGAGAGCTGACAAATTGCCATTCAAAGATGGAGAGTTCTTTTTTCTAAGGGGCCACTGACATAAAAGCGTTTCTTTTTATCCATCCCCACCTCCACGGTCTCTATTGACTGTATCCCAGCTCTTTCTTTTGTCCTCATTTCAATTTGTTTCCCATGTACATACCTGTCCCATAATTCATTACTCCCCCCGTAGGAAACGAGGCTTTTTCATGTTGAATGCCTGGTGTGTCATGGCAAAAGCCTGCTCTCACATCCTGGTAACGGTTGCTACCCTTCACAAGAGGGCCTATAAATACATTCCAGAAAAGAAGAAAAAAAATTCAGGCCTTTCCTTCAGCGTTCAACAAGCTGCTCTCCACCAGCACGGCCAATCCCGGCTCGCCAGGACCACATTTATATGCATAGCGGAGATTCAGTTGGCTTTGCGGGTACAAGTGGCAGATATGATGTGTTACCTTTTTCACATCATCTCCAGAAGGAGCGCATGGCGCGAGAACATCACGGAAATGTGTGGATTCACAGGAATACTGAGACGGGGTTTATTCTGTAGCTGCCATTCAACTGATGCAGGTTTTGAAATGCCAATATTGCTTTTATTGCTCAATATCAAATTAATAGCTTTAGATTTGACTATTTGCAACCCCCCTCAGTTATAAGCACACAGCTTTTTTTCAAAACTTAATTTTTGTCAAGATCTTAAAGCCTCTGAAGCTAAAGCTGCAACTATTAGTCAATTGGTGGATTGACAGAAAATTAACTGTTAATTATTTGTTTAATCAATTAAATGTTTAAGTCATTTAAAAAATAATAATAATTCTCTGATTCCAGCTTCTTTCGTATAAAATGTGGGTGTTTTATTTTTTTTAATATCACAGTAAATTGAATATCTTTAGGTTTTTGGACTGTTGGTCAGACAAAAGACATTTTTACAGTGTTCTTTTACATTTAAAGACTGAACATTAGATTAAAAAAAGTAATCGGTGGATGAATCGACGATGAAACTTATTGTTAGTTGCGCCAGTGAGCCGTTTTTTGTGGCTGTGGTCAGGGAAGAACGTCCCACATATCAGGGGAAGATATCGTCTTGCAGATATCTAATAAACCAGATTATCAGTCCTATTGCTCCAATTAAAATTCAGTAAACTGATCCTTTTCACTGCCTTTTTAATGACTTCAAAGTTTTGTCACCTGCGCTCTCTCAACAGAGAACGTCACAGAGATCAAGACGAATATTTTCGTCACCAGCTTCGGCCCAGTGTCGGACACGGAGATGGTGAGTTCATCTGCGGCAAACACCACAAAAACACACACACACACACACACACACGAAGCCCACCCAGGCGACTGTGGGTATTTTTAGATGGAAACTCATATTTACATTTCATGAGACTGTTGCCGATGCTCATGCTGATCCCTGGAAGTACACTTTCGTTGCGTCTTTGAAGATTGTTTTTTTTCGGTTCCTTGTAAACAAGACCAAATGAATGTGTGATAAATGAAACATTTGAGATTTAATGCAACGTGGCTGGCCCATTCCAACTCGTTCCAAATGACTCTTCCCTTTATTAATCCATTCTCTTATGAACTATATAAGGTTCCCCTTGGATAGCGAAATGCATTAAATCTCCTCTTTCATTAAATCCTCTATTACACCCGGCAATATCCCTGGCACACTCTTGACACAGCAGTTGCCACTTTCCTATAATTGACTGGAAGACGGTATTGACAAGGGCGCACAATTGATTAATGAAATGTGGCAAGAGACCCTGAATGGTTCTGCGGTCCATAAAAGCCTCTATGTCAGCCTGCTAACAGCAGTTTTCTCGTCTCATTCGTCTGTTTGTTTCCCCGGCTCGAAGCGGGGTCGATATTTCGCACACGAGCAGATTTATGACGGAGTTCTGCACCGCAGATGTTTGATCACCTGCAAATTGTCGGTGGATTTATGAAGGCATAAAGGAGGATCAGTTAATGCCGATTGACAAAGGAGCAAGTTTTTCCTGTCTCAATGTACTTATTCTAAGCTCTGATATGTGACGAGGAAATAGCAAAGAAGCCCCATTACCCCAAAGAAGCCCCATTACCCCAAAGAAGCCCCATTACCCCAAAGAAACCCCATTACCCCAAAGAAACCCCATTACCCCAAAGAAGCCCCATTACCCCAAAGAAACCCCATTAGCCCAAAGAAGCCCCATTACTCCAAAGAAGCCCCATTACCCCAAAGAAACCCCATTACCCCAAAGAAGCCCCATTACTCCAAAGAAACCCCATTACCCCCCCAAAGAAGCCCCATTACCCCAAAGAAGCCCCATTATCCCAAAGAAACCCCATTACCCCAAAGAAACCCCATTACCCCAAATAAGCCCCATTACCCCAAAGAAACCCCATTACCCCAAAGAAACCTCTTTTTTTATCTCCCGCCTCAGGAATACACCATAGACGTCTTCTTCCGTCAGAGCTGGAAGGACGAGCGTCTGTGCTTCAAAGGGCCGATGGAGATGCTGCCGCTGAACAACCTGCTGGCCAGCAACATCTGGACCCCCGACACCTTCTTCCTCAACGGCAAGAAGTCCATCGCTCACAACATGACAACGCCCAACAAGCTGCTGAGGCTGAAGGACGACGGCACTTTGCTCTACACCATGAGGTAGGTTCTCCCACTCTGGGGGGGATTTATTCACACGTGTAATCCTTTGACATTTTAAAACACACATAATAATGAGTATTGAATAGTTGTAAACCCACTTGGTGACCAAGGTTGATGGCACTTCAGACGCGTCGCTACCCATACAGAAGTAAACTTGCCGGCACAGCACTGAGCTTCTTTGCCGGTATTCTTAAACTAATGGAGGACACCTCCCATTTATGTGCCCTACGGCTTTTATTAGAGGTTAGTGAAGGTTTTTAAGTGAACATCAAAATGAAAATAGAATAAAAACAGCTAACAAGGCCAACATAATACACAATACAGCCCTGCACTCAGGGAGAAAACACAGTGATAAAAACCCTCAGTATGTGACCCACACTGTAGGGAAATAGTGTCACCCAGTGGCCAATCACTGGCATTTGATTTGTAGTACAGTAAAAGCAAAGTTAGTGGCAAATAATGCAAATATTTATTTAAATTATTCTTTCTCCTTTAAATTGAGGTTTTTTTTAAATTCATATTAAGATATTCATGAGAATTATGAATACCAGAAGGAGGTGTCTCTTTAACTGAAGAGGTTTGAGAAGAAACTGAAGAGGGAGATCATCCATTATGAAGAGCAGCCTCATTGTGAACTATAGTTTTTGGCAGCGCTGCATTGAACTATAGTTGGCAGTAATGTGGTGGTGAAGAAAGAAACAGGCCATCAACCAGATGGAGATCACTCTGAATACAAAGATCATTACAACTCAAAAAGCTAAAAAATTGAGGACAAATTGATGTTAAATTGAGATGCAAATAGCTTTTTTTGTTTAGTGGAACGGCAGCGTAACCACCGGGGCTCCCTGTGACCTTTTGCACCATAGAATTAGGATAAGTCTGTGCTTATCCTCAGGAGTTACTGCAGCTGCAGGATTTAAGAGTGACGGCATCACGGATGAGAGCACTCTATCTGATACCGGTGCCACAATGCTGGATGGATAAGAGATTATCCATATGCAACCGCACTGACATATATATACAAAGAAGTACAGCACTTACAGTCACCTCTTTGTCACACGCGTCCAACGCTGGCATACACACACACACACACACACACACGTGTCAAGCACGCCGTCTGCACTAATCAACTTTGACCTCGAGGCTTAACGAGCGAGGCGTTGCGTCAACGTGCGCGCGTTCATTTCCATATGCGTCATTTTGTGGAAATCAATGCACGCACGTATTTGTGTCTGGATGCAAGGAAAATGCACACATGAGTGTGCACGAGAGACAGAGGGGGCTCGCGCTTCCGTAGTCTAAAAATGGCATCAGATTCGCTGCCACAGTTGAAACGAAGCCGCAGTGGGTTGCTTTTAATCGTCTAATTGTTATGGCGCTGTGCTCGTCATTACCAGCGGAGCTCAACCACAGGCAACGCTTGATTTTGTTTCCTGCATAAAACACACACCGACACACACACACGCGCGCGCGGGCCATCTGGGTACTTGCAGGTAACAGCTAACTCAACAACAGCTTGTTTGTAGCCTGTTTACATTATACGTCATATCGTTTTTCAGTTTGTTATCATAAGAAGAAGGAAAAAGTTGACTAAAACCTAATATAACTGTAGTTGTACACATTATTTACTCTGATGTTCAACACAGATTGAGGTGATCAACTGTACTAAACAACAATCCACCCACAGTAAACGGGTCTTGTGAACACATGCATTTCTTTCATATCATTGTCCTTTATGTAGAGTTAGTGCACCACATGTGTTCATCCCCACAGGAGCCGGGTACACACACACACAAACAATACATCCAACAGAAGCTCCACTCAGGCGCTGACAAGCCGTCATGTCACATTACAAACATGGCGTCCTCCCTCACACCGTTTCCGCACCACGTACGGGCGTCAATGAAAGCGCCTCATCCCTCATTTGAAAAGCATCACAGGAGGAGCGGGCGGCTCTGCGGGGCAAAGTTCCGACGCATTTGTCTCCGCGGATCGTTCATAAAACGCCGCTTTTCACGCGGAGCTTGATGGCGGTCCATTACAGCAGATGGGCTGCAGCGTATACGGCTCCATCAGCTGGTTGAATCCTCTGTATCACCACAGAGTGAGTGCATTACGCATCATTATCATTAGGTACAGTTGAGTCACCATTCTCATTGATGCTCCAAGTGTTGCCTTTAGGCCGGTTGGCTTTTATGCAGTCATTTGACAATTTGTATTGAGTTATAATGACATTCATGTTCATGTTCCGGCACTTCTAGCAGTTCATTTATTTATTTTTTCTTCACACCTTGGGTATATTGTATAACCCCGGCTCCCATGAGACCATGCGAGACAAGTTTGGAGATTGTTAAAAAAAAAGTAAAAAAAAAGTGGTTAATACCGCATAAAGCCCCTGAACTCAAAACTCAGCCCTTTCCCGCTCCGTCCCGACGTCCAAGTTCTTCGACTTTTCTGCAAGGTGAGGCGTATCGGAAACTTTTAGATTTCCCACAGGGGCCAAAGGTGCATACGCGGGTCTGTTTCTGCCCGTGTTGCCGCTGTGATGTACCGCTTTCCAGTCAGTCCACACTGGCCTGAACAGAATCATGGGGCTTACTCTAAGCTGCTATTTTACCCCCCCCCGATACTTGAACTATAACTGCAATGGGGATGCATCATCTTCTTTTAGAGGGACACATTTTCTGGCACTAATCACACCCCAAATTAAAAGCGAGTATCTTTACAGGCATCCCTGCTAATGGGGCAAGGCCACATGAATAACTAGAACATGGCATAATAGCCCACAGCCATGTTCTCATTTATTTCTCCCAAAGACACCCTTCCCTCTCCTCCAATCACAGTCCCTCAGCTGTGTTAGATGCAACGATGCAGTTGGATAATCCGCCGCTGATGTGGAAAGCAAGCTGCGGCCCCAAAACAGTCGGCTCTGCAGGGACCAGAGGTGGCCTCTTATCCCACTTTGCTACGCTTCGTTGGCTTTCATGATACATGTGGGGAAACCTCCTGCGGTGGATACGTACATGCTGGAGGTCTTTGGAGCATAAAAAAAACATGACCCAGGAGGATTCTGCCACATCTCGGTGACACAGTTTATCATTCAAATTATGATACAGATCAGTGAAGGAAAAGTTATTAACCTGATACTGTAGCTAACGTGGAGGTTGCTCATATGCCTGAATGGTTAAAGCAGAAAACGAAATGCTGGAGGAACCTTCCAGGCCGGAGTCTCCAGCCTTTTTTATCCTCTGAGAGCTAATTTGAGGGAATGGAAAGTGGCCGGGAGCTGCTCGAGCTGTACATCGTCAAAGAGTAGACGTAATTCCTGTCTTACTTTTATGGTCCTTTAATAACGATCCAGCCGCAGCAGTCATCGCCTCTATTACAACGCCGCCATGGGCGAAGGGCTCTTTGTGTTTCATTAGGACATGGGCCACTAAACGAGGCCTCGGCTGCTGCCTCGGCCTTCTTCCCCACTGTTGTCTTTTAGGCGTCGTTTTCGACTCCATTACCGTCTCCGTCTGTCGGCTGCCACCAGCCGGAAAGCCCCATAAAAAGTTGCAGAGGACTTCGGCGAAGTGGCGCCCGGCGTTACATCTTCTACCGACTGACACCGGAAATGAGACACACAAAAAACACACCCACTCCTCATGAAAACAGTATGTTTGAATGGACAGCAATTTAAACAGACTTTGAAAACCCTCCTTTAACGTAATAAACAGGTGTTTTTGTGCTCTGCTTCCCCGTCATCAAGCCCCGTTAAGTTCAGTGAATCCACATCATCATATCACTGTATTACTGGTCATCATCATGCAATGAGCAATAATACACAGAGGGACTTGATTCAATCTGGAGCAGGTAGCTGAAAAACAAAAAAAAGGAGGAATTATGATGTATGCTTGATTCGTACGCTTGATTCACTTAATCCTGTGGTTCTTTCAGGACAGAGAGAGAGTGAGGTACCATCGTAGAAGCTAAAATGATAACAACATGGCGTGAATGACTGGTAAAGAATTCGATTTGTAAAGCCCATTAGGAGACATAGCTACGTATTTATATTCATATTTGAAGAAAATGAAAAAAGACGAGTGTGAGAGGTTGTCCCAAGGGTCATTTAAAGAGTTTGCCCGCAGTATATTCAATGGAGAGACAAATAACACAGAAGCTGTGTGACCACCAGGTGGTAGCAATGCCACTGTAATACTGGTGTTGGAGTGTCTTGCATGAGTTCATTCCACCTCTCTCCTTAGCTCAGATTGTTTAATGGTTGTGATTTAAAAGATGGCAGAGCTGTGACCTCCCTCCTAATTGCTTTTGGTGCCCTGTAATTTTAGCAAGTGTAGCTCTTCCTGTAATCACAGAGTGCTCTGTATCAGAGATCTACATGCCCAGTTAAATAGTCAAAGGTGGACGACGGCTAAAGTAAGACTTTGCCGTGTGGTTAATGGGTGTATTGTGTGTGTTTCACCTCAGACTGACCATATCGGCGGAGTGCCCCATGCAGCTGGAGGACTTCCCCATGGATGCACACGCCTGCCCTCTCAAGTTTGGCAGCTGTGAGTATAATCCCGTCTCCCGAATGTCTACTTTTCTTTACGCTTATCTCGCTCTTCCCGAGACGCTAATCCCAGTTTCGCCAAGTCCGACGCAATGAGTTTCACAAAGGTTTAATCTAAATTTGGAGCGATTCATTTGGAACAATTAGGAATCATTTTTTGGCTAATTGATAGAATGCTGCCGCAGGGATTCCGTCGACGGGTCGTTATCTGCTGGAGAGTGCAGAGTTTGCTTTCCTCATATTAAATTGTCAAGTTGAAGAGCTTAGTGGAAATGCTAAGCTATTGTAACAGTAGCACAAGAGAAGTAAAGTCTACGGCGTGCATATGAATTGTGCTAATGAATTCAACTCATAATACATAAATACATAAACTAATATGTATATATATAATTGAAGTTTGATAAATCAAAGCCTCAAACGTCTTAGTTAGTGCACATGCACTAACTAAGATGAGCATACAGTAAGGCTGCTCCAGGACCCTCCTCAGGTCAGACCTACCAGAGAGGATTATGAACAGACCTGGTTCAAATCACTTGTGTGTTTTAGAGTACCAGTCACAGTCAATTTGAGTCAACCCACATGCTTCGTAAAGAGATTTCACCCGAGCTGCATGCTCCTGGGTCACAGTTCACAGTGTGGGCCTCTGCTTCCAGCCACTTTCTTTGATGGGAATTCTTCGTCTATTCGAATATAAAGGTAGACGTCGCTGATACAAGAGAAGATTAGCGCTCGTTCTCCAAACGCTCAATTAGGTCGGATTGGAAAGGGATCTCCCCGACGCCCTCTTCGCAGGAACGGCTTGTCTGCCTGTCCTAGCAGCAAGGACATGTATATAAACTTGAGTGGCCCAGAGGATATTTAAAGACAGAGCTGGCCACATGCCACACCTCGGGAGCCTCTTGGGCTAAAAGGATGAGGCTCTTATCCCCAGAGTCCTGTGTAACGCCGTCCACCCACACCCACTATGTAAAGGAAGCACATTCGACCGCAATCCGATTACAGCGCAAGGCGGCTGTCGGGCCTTCCCATGGCAAACTCTGAACATAATCAACCGGGCTGTGAAGCCCCGCAGGTGAAAGGTGTAAGTGTATAATGGGAATAATGTTTCGGTGGTGACACTGCAGTTTTCACAAGGTGAAGTTTCCCGGTGGAGAGAAGATCTTTTCTTTCGCTGTTCGTTAGCGCCGAGACCTCTAACCACCACCCGGTTTAGCCTCTGTCCTCTGGTGGCATTACGTCGAATATGCTAAACCTCCACCACACACTGCAGCAAATGTGCTGGAGCTGCACAATCATGTGATGACACAGAAGACGACAATGTCTTTTCCTAAAAAAACAAAACAAAATGGATACAAACATTGCTGTAGTCCAGTAATCTGACTGTATCCACTGTTTACTGTTGCACATCCGTGGGGGGATGAAAGGAGAAAACATCCGGTGTGATGAAAAATGGGCAAAATTAATCCCTCAAGCCACCAAATCTCTCCATCCCCCCCTCCTTTTATTTGCTACACAGACGAGGTTGTGGTTTCAGTTCTGTTTGTTTGTATGTTTGTCAGCAAGATTTCTCAGGAAAGTCGGTGGAAAGATGTACAGGAGCGTGAGCCGAGTAAGAACCCATTCCATTCTGGAGGGGACTGGGCCTCGGCAGAGGTCTGGACTCCCCGAGTGTCTTTCTACTTCAGAATGTCATGATTTCATAATTCAGTACCCACAGAAGCCATTAAGGTCCGAGGAGTTAAAGGCCTTTTCAGGCTGGACAGCAAACTGCTTAACACTTAAAGTTATAATGTCTTCATTCATTTTAATCCCTTTTAGACGGACTGCTTCACCCCAGGAATCATTGTCATAGATAGTACCAACAAAATGTAGTTTCTTTTTTCAGTTGTCTCGTCAATTTTAAGTAGTTTAAACAGATAAATTCTAAAGCCCGGTTCTGCTCCACATTTATGAAGGTCATAACAGCCTTGAAGTGCACATTCATACACCCGTGTTGCATAGCTCCTTGTATCCAATCATTGTGACTTGTGATCAGAGTGGTGACTTGTACAATAAAAGCACGAGGCCCTGCTCTAAAGTTGGTTCAGGTAAAGGGCAACTAATCCCCTTTTTCTTTCTGGTGTACAGTACCTGTGTCCTAATTTAGTTGCTGCCCTGGCCTCCAGCCACACAGCCCTCACATGCATGCACACTGAGGAGTTCGAGTGATACTGTGTGGTACTCAGTTAATGGTGAGCCAAGTGAAACCGGCTGCTCTTTCTTACTTTACCATAGATATCTATGGGCGTTAGACGCATTAGAAACTGCACTCGTTTTAACAGCGAGCGTCGGAGACCTCTGCGACGATGAGCACGACTTTCTCCGAAATAACCGCATGATCACCATAATCGACAGCTCTTAGACGAAAAAAAAAAAGACGAGTCATGCGGAACTTTGCAGAGCTGTTGTTTACGGCACGGCGGATGTTTAGAAACCGCTTGTTCCCCCGAATAAGTGCATAAAGATGCAGATGACGATGCGAGGCGCACAGAACCTGCGAGCGCGAGCCGAGGGGAAACAATAATGAGTCATCTTGTCTCGCCCTCAAACCCACAATGGTCCCCGCTGAACACATGTAGCAGTGAATCGCTTCATGATTGCTCTCCTCCTCGGAGCCGCTCGCAGCCTCAGATTGCGGCCTGTGTGAATGGCTCGCATCAATAAACCTGAGCTTTCATGAACAGCAGAGCCTGCGATCCCGTCGTGGACGCATTTTCAGGATGAGGATTTCCGCTTTAACGAAAGGCCGACATCAGTTTAGGACTTAGAGGGTCAAAGGGGGGACCGAAGCTGTTCCAAAGCCAAAGCGTGGCCCAAATTCTTGTCTCCCACCTGCAGATGAAGTTGGCTTTCTGAAGACTGTTCTCATCGCAAAGAAAATGACAGCAACAAACATGTGTTATACTCTCCTGACAAGTTGAGACATTAGCTGAGATTGCTTTTTTAACCTGTTTTGTTGGCTTGTATACTTGTTTGTATGTTCAGACGGTATGGTTCATTTTTATGTTACTTAAGGTTTATCTCACGATTGTTTGAACTGTCACAACATTAACAAAGTAAGTCGTTTTAGTTGCCTGGATTTGGAAGATGTAGAAGTGCTTTTGTTATTTAGCTATGAGGATCTCAGCACACCAGTCACCTTCACGTCTGATCGTCCGGCTCTCGTTGCATCGCGTCAAAAGCGACCCCCGTGGCAGTGCTTTGTCGACACTGACACGCGTGACGCGCTGAATATTCATTTGTCGGTAACTGTATGAAAAAAGACACATTTTGGGTTTGTGAAATCCTCAATATTTCCAGCGGCCGCGCTCGGAGCGCGTGGAGCTGCTGCAGAGTCGCTGATGAGTTTGGCTGAGTTGTCGCTCCCCCTTGCCGAGCACACAAGACGGGAGCAGCGAAGCATTAAAGCGTGGCCTGTAGAGAAGTTGGCACAGGTGCACCGGCTCGCCTGCCAAGGCCTTTAGCTCCTACCCTGCGTACTAAAATTCCCCTCTAATCCCTTATTGCAATCTAACTACCCTACAATCAAGACCCTGGCGTTTGGCCTGACAGTGGCCACATTTAAACACTATATTGTTCCGCAGCATGCAGCCGCCAAGGGAGCGCCCAGAATGGAAACGCTCAAGTTAAGATGCTATCTGCTGGACGGATAAACAGCCGCGTTACACAAGGCCAGCTGGTAGATCGATGTCCAGTGTTTGTGCAGGATTCATCATGAATAAATGAAATAGCAGGGGAGGCTATGGAGTTTGAGCTCTGCTTTTCATCACGCGGCTGATGCGACACATGATGGTTAATCTGACTCGGTCTGGTTCCTGCCGACGGGGGAGCTCACTTCTGACCCAGAAGTGTGGTTTAAACAAAAATACACTCAAATATCTGCCCACACACACACACACACACACACACACACGCGGAATTCAGTTTTTTGTTTTTTTTTAAGCCTGCAGTCTAATCAAAAAGTGCTGGAAAGATTCTGCACCAGCACATGAGCGGTTGCACATAATATGAGCCATTGCAGGGTTGGAAACAAACTGTAGTTTCTTAGTCTAACACACATTTTGGATGTTTGCATATTAAAAATGAACACGTCGAGTTCTATATTCACAAGCTCATTTCTAGACATCCTTCTCTCTGTGTCTCTCAGATGCCTATCCGGTGTCAGAGGTGGTCTACACGTGGACTCAGGGAGCCGCTAAGTCCGTGGTGGTGGCAGAGGACGGCTCCAGACTCAACCAGTACCACCTCATTGGGCAAAACGCCGGCACAGAGGACATACACACAAGCAGAGGTGGGTGTGTCTGTGTGTGTCTATAGATAAAGAAACAAAAAATACACATCTATAGCTCAAACAAAGAAAGAAAAGAAACAGAAATGGAACACTGGAAGGGTAGTAGAAGTAGTAGGAGGGTCAGTATAATGATCCACTCTGTGAAGGAAAGTATAACTGCATGGATTCTGAATAATATGAATATTCATGCAATTTCATTTGATGGAGGGAGCAGTTGCTAGGAGACGTCTGTAGCGCCGTCCACTCAAAAGCAATGCATGATGTTCTGTACAGTCACTGCAGCTGGAGCATAACATCACAGCTGTAGATGCATCTAACAGCCAATCCTTGGTTTGTCTTATTTATGTCTGCATACGGGGAGAAATGAGTGAGGGGAAATATCATTTCATTTGACTTTTTACTGTAAATCAAAATGTTCCCAATTTCACGCAATTATCAAACAGCATTTTCATCTGATGTCAGGTCAGACGTGTCGCCCACATTTCATATCACAGGCTGGTTTCTCACACTGTATGTGGCGCACGATAAGTGTAATACCGAATATAACGTGATGTAACTAATTCGAGATTAGAAGAAGATAAACGCCAGCGAGATGAGATGGCCGTGCGGGGCCGAGAGTAAATGTGGGAAACATTATCAGGAGATCAGAGTCAATGAGTGGAGGCTAGCGGAGGAGAGTAGCCTATCCCTCACACAACCAGCTGTCTACAGGCCCGGACAGCCCTGTCAAACAACACTTATCCCCGCATGAGCCCATGCGCGCGCACACACACACAGAGTTAGAGACCTCGGGTTAATCCCTCCATCCCAACCACCCATCAGCTTTTGCATAAGAAGATGACATCACAGATCAGTGAGGGATTGGTTGGTTGGCTGTCGCTGAGTGTATCTGTGTGTTTGTGGGCATGCGAGTACCAAATGTCCTCACAATGGTGGCGAAAGACCAGGACATTTTGATGGTAGCTTGGTTCATTCAGCTGTGGGTTCGATTTCGGGACAATTTTAAATAAGGTGGATTTCATGAGGTATGGTTGGACGCTTTCAATTTAGAAGTTTAGCGTAATGGAAACAGTTTGACTTCAGATGTAAGCTTGGTCCTCCCAAAGATAGAAAAATATATCTGTGTGTGTCCGTTTGTATGTTGGGATTGGACAGCCTCGCTCTGACGCATGGGGGGGGGGGGGGGGGGGGGGGGGGGGGGGGGGGGGGGGGGG